AATATAAAATATTCTATAATGTAGCAATTCTGATTGTGTTTAGGCCAGCAGAGAAGGCTTTGCTGGCCCTGACGGCACACCACTGCCGTATTTTTTCATGTATAATACGATCATAATTTTTTTTTACATTAAAAAGCATAAAAAATCTAAATAACCTGTGTGTAATACTACCCCCCTATTTTATGGATGATTTTTAGGGTTAAATTTCAAGTATTATACATGAATAAATACAGTAGTTTTGTCATGTTCCCCCCCAAAAAATATAAAAATCAGCTTTTGTAAGAATGAAATCTTCGGGGTTTAAATTRAGTTCAAAGTTCAAGTTTCCATTTTTAGCGCAATATAAAAAGGTAAATACTGCACCCTAGTGGCCAGAAATTAGCACTAATTATCAGCTGGAACTACTACCAGAACTACATTCCTTTGGAGTCAGCCAGGTAGAAATGATAAAGAGTGAAAGGAGGAGGTGTCACCTTAAATCAGGAACAACTCATCAGTGTGGACTAAGTGACCACATTAATGTGCAGCATAGATAAAAAGAACCTTAACTCACCTGCTGTTATTGTACTCAGCTAATGAACCATTAAACCAGTCAGTTTCCACCAGTCRCACCATTCAGCTAAAATACCACTTACTAACCACGCTCACACAGCTGGCTGCAAATGTTCTACTGATGGGATCTCACTGGGCTCTTGTTGGTGGAGCCTCGAATTTGCACAGTTTGTAGAACTTTAATCTACTAGAATATTTGAAAATATGCAGATTTGGACCAGTTTTTTAACTATGTGTTTGTTTTAAATCAGAGGTCTTCAACCCTGGAGCTAGAGTCACTGCAGGTTTTAGATGTTTCCTGCTTCAGCACAACTGACTGGAATGAGTGATTGACAGACTGCTGCTAAACCTGAGGAAATCCTGAGTTAGGTGTGTTGAAGCAGGGAAACAGTWCAGACCTGCAGGCCAGTGGGTCATGAGGACCTGGGCTTTAATCATTGACATGTTTTACATGTTTTCTGTCAGCGGAAGCTCCTGTCCAGGTGTAAAATCAAACCAACATTCTGAAGGTGGCACAGAGAGGTCTGATGAAATACAGATGAAACCTATATAGCCTCAATGCTAAACATGTTCAAAAAACTGCCTCTGACTGCCTCAGCCTAGTGTGAGTCTTACCGGTGCTGTTGGGACAGAGGCGAGCCAAAAGCTCAAAACGAATGTCTCTCTCCACACTCATTGAGCGGGCGTGGATCTTAAATATGTGAGTACGACCCTGCAACACAAAACACCAAACAGAAAATGATTCTTTCCTAGGCAGTAAATACAAAGACAAACACAAAGGAGGACATCAATCAGCTTTCTGAGCGGTCCTTTGAAACAGTTTTAGGATTAATCTGACCTCCAGATCAGGCAGGCTGAATTCAATCTTCCTGTCCAGACGCCCTGGTCTCATCAGGGCTGGGTCCAGGGTGTCTGGTCTGTTGGTGGCCATCAGCACTTTGATGTTACCTCGAGGGTCGAAGCCGTCAAGCTGGTTGATGAGCTCCAGCATGGTCCTCTGGACCTCGTTGTCCCCACCAGCACCATCATCAAAACGGGCACCTGGAATTTTCAACAACAGGACAGAAAAAAAAAAGAAAAGAAAAATCTTTAGTTCTGGCAGAATAATGAACACAATGTGGCCCAGAGTCAAAGGAAATCCTCAGTATCTGAATACTCTATCCTAATCACAACATGAAAAGTCAGGGGATATACCGAAACTCTTGAATTTAACATTTTTTAATACTGTCCCAACTCTTTAAAAGCTGTAGGATTTGTTGTTTTCAGCGACATCTAGTGGTTGAGTGGTTGAATCATCCTCCCTGGTCCTCCCCCCACCCCCACCCCCACCCCCA